GAATCCAACCTAAGATGCACTGACTGACGGACTGATGTCGAAAGACCCAGACGTGGTGCTGAAGCCCACTATTTATATGAAGACCAAAACAATCGCTAGTCATTATTCATTCACTAGCACTTAAGATTAGATAAGAAAAGCGAAGCTTCCAGACATGCTGACTTTGCGTCTACTGTGTGAATGGAGTCACTATTCTCATTCACTTATCAAAAATATATCACATTTCGTTGGGATCACAACACTATTATAATTGACATTACTTTTGTTTAGAAAGTTAACCTACGTTTAATATTAACTACAATCAATCATACACGACGAGAGTCGCCATATTGGATTCTTTTTTTTTTTTTTTTTAATTAAAATTTTTAATTTACGTGTAAAAAAAAAAAATTAATAATTTTAAATTCTTTTGACACACGTGTAACATTATGAATATTATTATTATTATTCAAAACAAGGAGAGAGATAGATAGATGGATAGAAAGAGAGAGAGAGAGAAACGACAAAGGTCTAATCAATTAATTAATTTTTTACACTTCCCATTTTTTTTTTTTGGTTTTGTAGCAGACGACAAAAAAAAAAAAAACAAGCTAAGAGGAATAATAATAATAATAATAATGATTAATTAACTAATTAAATAAATAAATTTGACAAGATTACGACACGTTTGTAACAACTGCCGACAATTTACCAAAAAAAAAAATAATAATAATAATAATAACCAGAGAAAACCAAGACTTTCTTTTCTACCTCAATGTACTTTTTTTTTTTTTTAACGTTCGTTCGTTCGTTCATTTTTTTTTCTCTTTAAGTTCAAGGCAACAAAATGTTTCTTCTCAACACTCGATACTAATAATAATAATAATAATAATAATAATAATAATAATAATAAAAGAAAGAAAGACGTTATAAAAAAAACTCTTATTAGTTCACGGTACTAAGAAATAAATATAAAAAAAACTCTTTTCGACTTTTTTTTTTTTTTTTAAATGATTCGGCAAAATTTTTTTATTTTATTTTATTTTATTCTAACGGTTTTTTTTTTTTTAACAATAGAGAAGAAGAAAAGACGAGTTTAAAAAAAAAATTCAATCAATTTCTAACAGAAAAGTTTAAATCAGCAAAATTATGTTTTCCCCTCCTCCTTCCCCCCCACAATGCGACCGTTAACGTGTTGTTTAACAAAAAATAAAAAGCAAAACAACAATACTGTTTTGTTTGTTTGTTTGTTTGTTTGTTTTCTCCTAAACGTTAACAATAATCATAATATTGTTTAAAAAAAAAAAAAAAAAAAAAAAAAGTTTGTGTACTATTGTAACGTTTTATTACTTTTCTTTCACAACAACCACAACAACAACAACAACAACAACAACTGTCCGCTTGCATTAATTTCAAACAAGTTGCAACTAAATTATTATAAAATTTTTACAAAATCGAAAAAAAAATACTTTTTCTCTCATTTCGACTAAATTTCGTAAAAATGGCGAACAGGTTTTTGCCAGTAATATAAAAAACTTCTTGTTTTGTTTCAAAACTTTTTTTTTTTTTTTTTTTTCGTGATTTCAAAAACGAAATGTCGACTTGCTAATAATTATTTTAAGTTCGGATAAATCGCGAAATATCGTTAGAATGAAACGATAATAATAATAATAATAATAATAATAATAATAATAATAATAACAACAACAATAATAATAATAATAATACGTGGAAGCGAGTATAAAACGTTTCCGCATTTCCAAAAAAAAAAAAAAAAAAAAGACTTTTTAATAATTATATTTTAAATAATAAAATGACGTATGAAATCATAGAGAAAATAAACGAGAATCATAACGACAACAACAATTTCTCTCTCTCTGACTTTTGCACAAAAGTTTTTTTTAAACAAACGAACGTTTTTACGTGTTCCATTTTTTTTTTATTTTTTCTCTCTAATACGAAAAGAGGAAGAAGGAAGGAAAGATAGAAAGAAAGAAAGAAATAGAAAAAAAAAGTAAAAGTTATGTAATTTACCGTTATTATTATCTCCCCGGTAGAGAAACAATTTTTTTCTTTCTCGTTCATTCATTTTTGGCTTGATGACGTAACAAGATGGCGGCAACTAAAAAAAAAACAAGAAAAATTATTTAAAAAAAATTTTTTTTTTTTTTTTTCAAATAAGTTTCAAAGGTTACGACGATTAAAATCAGACTTGAAACCCCCCCCCCCTCTCTCTCTCTCTCTCTCTCTCTCTCTCTTACACTTTCAAATGCAAATATTTTTCCCATTTATTTATTTATTTTTCATCGATTAAAAACACGCGACGAATAACAACGATATTATTATTAATAATAATAATAATAATAATAATAATAATAATAATAAATATATTTGTTATGATTAAACGATAGAAAATAATAAGATATCGAATGAAAAGAAAGAAAGAAAAAATACGAAAAAAAAAAAAAAAAAAATGAAAAGAAAATGAGTCAGTCGTACGAAAGTCGAGGGAAATTATTATTATCGCATTATTCGATTAACGAGTCAGTTTAGTAGGACGTTCCATTTTATTGTTCGCCATTTTTTTTTTTTTTTTTTTTTTTAATTAAAAAGAGAGAGAGAGAGAGAGAAAATTATTTAGTTTTTTTTTTTTTATGTACGTACGTCATCATCAATACCACGATACATTTTTTTTTAATATGTAAGTTTATCGATAAATAATATCAATTTTATGTAATTTTTTTATTTTTTTTTTCATCATCATCATCATCATCATCATTACACCACTCGTATATACTAACGTAAATTTAAAATAATAAATTACAATAATAATAATAATAATAATAATAATAAAAACAAATGTTTATAAAAAAAAAAAAATTAATTTTCCACGTTAAAAGCCACCATTTGCCACCCGTTTGTTTGTTTGTTTTTTCTTCCGCCATTTTTTTTTTTTCAATTAATCGATCGATCTATCGATCTATCGATTATAAATTTTAATTAGCGTTATCACCGAAATAAAATTTTAAAAAAAGTTCGACTTTGAAAAAGCATCCATGCATTCCATATAATTTTTTAACAACTCTTTAAAATTCTCAAATAGTATTTTTTATTAATATATATTTAAAACTTCCGCAATTTTTATAATAATGTTTTCCCATAGGACGTAAAGTTTTTCTCTCTCTCTCTCTCTCTCTCTCTCTCACTAAGTTTTCCTTTTAACGTTTTTTTTTTTTTTTTTTTTTTTTTTTTTTTTGGTAAAAAACAATTATAATCAAGGTAATAACAATAATAATAATAATTAAACAATCGAATTTTTCCCTGCCAATTATATTCAAATGTCATCATGTATACGCGATAATAACAATTAATGATTTATTTTTATTAACCTACGAATAACAATAATAATAATAATAATAATAATAATAATAATAATAATAATAATAATAATAATAATAATAATTTTTTTTCCAATTTTCCGACAATAATATTTCATTTCCGTTATTTCTCTTATATTAAATTATTATAAACCCGTGTGTCGTAATATTATTATTATTATTATTATTTTGCCCCATTAACAACAACAACCACGAGTCATTTAAAAAATTTGTGTCAAAATTGCGTGCCATTATTATTATTATTATTATTACCCAATTCGAAAAAAACAAAAATCTTACTCAACATTATCGAATAAATGAAAATTCTTCCATAATTAATATGTATTTAAATTTTCCATTAGAAAATAAATAAATAAATAAAATATGTAAATGCGTATAAAAAAAAAAAAAAAAAAAGTTTTCCAGAACTTTCCCTTTCTCCCTCCCTCTCTCTCTT